CATGGCCCCAAGGCCTGCCAGGCTGGAAAGCCCCCTGGACCATCCTTCCTGAGGGCTGCTCCCCACAGGCAGCGGTGGCTGCTCACAGGAGGCACAGCAGCGAGCACAGAGGCAATTCCCTCGTTGGGCAGTTATCAGGTAATAGTTTCAGGTCTAAGTCCTCTGTTGGACCTACCTGCACAGTTCCCAATGCAGGAGGTCACTGTGCAGGAAAGCACTGCGAGGAACACAAATGTTTTCAAGGTTTGGTATACTCCCAGGGGATGCTAGCTGAATTTGGGAATAATTCAGGTGTCCATCTACTCAATTACCAGCTCCCATCTTTTCCTTCAAGAGCAATCCACTCTTTGCAAATCCAGCCTCCCAAGGCTTATCTGATCACAGCACAAACTGGAAATCCCACTTTGGATTGGTGCCACAAAATGAATTAAACTACTCAGAGAAATGAAAAAAAAAAATGGTACAGTCTCGCAATAAGCAACACTGATCACCAAATGAATAGTGATTCTTTGGATTAACATTAAAACCCATTTATTCAGGCTTTTGTGCAGGGTGCACAAGTCAAGGCAGTTACGTGTACACAGTATGCACATCCTAGTAGCGTACAAAAAGGCAAGGAGCACCGGGTGCTTACACTGGTAATGTATGTACAGACATATTCAACTGGGAGTTTTACATTAGAAAATCATCTGACGCTACTCATGTATCATCAAGGCTATTCAAAATGGTGTAGAAAACCAATAAAACTTGGAAAGTATCTACTCTCATTTCGCTGGACCCAGGCTGGATATAGTCAGGCTTCCCACACTACATCATTTTGTGGGCAAAGCCTACAAGATCTCCGAGCACTTTGAAGGGTCACATCACCGTTCACTCTAACACGTCCCATTGCATGTTCAAGATTAACATATTAGTATCATTTCCTGTCTTTCTGGGAAGAACAACAGCTTAAATACTTCAAAAGGCTCATTTTCTCCTGGGAAAAGACAACAAAGGAAAGATTCAGAGAGGCCATGAGAGAACAAACATTAATGAAATGTTGTAACAGCACTTCCTGGTCCTTCCAGAAAACTCTTCACAGACCAGGCAGCACCTAATTTAAAGCGCTGTAAACTGTCCAGATTTACAGAAGTGCAATGTCAGGCCTTGGCAGAGCCCAGGTCTTCTGCTGATCTTTACCTTGTTCCTATCCTAAGGGCTGCAAGAGATCGTACTTTTGTAACCTGCACAAAAAGACACAGAGAGATCAAGCAGATTTAGCAAAAGGATACTAAAGAGAAACAACAGAATTATGCAGCAACATCATAAGAGCCATGCTTCGCTCCCTGTAACTGTTCTGAAAAGTATCAAATTCCTGAATTTAACTTCCAGCTGAATTTTGTCCAAATGTCAGCAGAATGAGGGAGCACCAGAAAAGAACAATTTAAGAAACACATGGTTCTTGGGGACAAGGCCCCCCAAGGACACTGGAACCCGTCTTCATTGACTTTCACCATGAAGAGCAGCTCCAACTCTCTTTGACTACTCTTCTATTCCAGAGTCAAATTCTTGCACATATTAGGTAGTTTTGATGGCAAATTTTAGCATTATAAAGAATCTAACCTAAAATCCACCCAGGGAGCAGTTTTAAAGGGCTAATTTGCTGATGCAGATGACAGAAACCACAGTTGAGTGCGACGTGGGTAAGACTGTTAGAACTGCTCCCAAAGGTGGCTGAAATAAGATGCTTTGTGCATAAATACACCAAATATAGGACATATTTGTAGAACATTCAATCACAGCCAATATGATTTTTCAGACATCTCTTCTTTTTAGCACAGCACACGTGCCATTTGCTGTATGACTCTGGGGTTTAGTTTATTCAGTTCGTTGCCTTGCATGAGCCTTTTGGAGAAAAGATGAGGACAGCATAAATTATCGCTCTCAAATTTATTTCTTTCCTAAAGTTTAAAGTTCTCTGGTGGAAATTTTTATGAGTCAAAATTTACTTGAGTGAAAGTACATTTCAAAAATGTATATTTTCATGTTGATTTCTATGAAAATTCATTGCTGAAGTGGTTTGAAAAATGTTTTCCTTTTAGAGAATGACTTCCTCATATTATATTATGAATAGGCAAAGAACAATCAGTATTTTAGATTGAGCCTTCCTATAGTACGAACCACTCATTCTGATTGTTTTAGAGAAACGCTTCAGCTGTAAGTAGTAATAAATCACAATTTTATTCAAAAGGAATCAGGAAAAAGACTTAATTACCAGATTCACTTTGTCATTCAACAGGCACAGGGAATGAGCTGCAATTCAAAAGTAGGAAGCCCTCAATAGCACTTTTTTACATTTACGAGTGCAGCTACAGCTTGTAACACGTAGGAACGTCACGTCAAATTTTATACCACAGCCTGTTTGTTTCCCTTACAAATAATTTTCTGGCACAAAAAGTCAGTGGGAACTTCCAGAGCTTGAACATAAGCAAATAAGATGTGTGGTTAAGATTTAGAAGTACTAAAACCACCGTGGTGTTTCAGCAGTCTAACAGCAATTCCTGGCCAGGGGTGGGGAGGAGAAACAGGCTTCTGGGAGTGAGTGAAACTGCAGACTGGGAAGGTACCACTGAAACCAGTGAGATGTTTCCTGGTACTAAGAGAACCCCAGAAACAACCGGCTTTTGCAGGAGGATAAAAACAAACACGCAGGTAAATACAACCGATTTTGGTATCAAGGACAAAGCTGAACCATACCCACTCTATGCCGTGAGATTTTTAAAATAAGTTTTTAAACACAATTAGCTTTAAAAAGCTTGATTTCTAAAACTATTCAAGATCAAAGTTTATATAATAAAGTGAAATACACAAGTTGCTACTTATTAATACAGCCATTACAAGGCCTGATGCCACATACTATATTAGAAATCTCCAGCTTAACTATGCTATATATACATATTTTTATATATGTGCGTATATATATATGTATAAATTATCAAGCTCAGTTAAACACAAAGCAAATTATACTTTCTCTCGGAAATAGTTTCATCCATTAAGTTCCAGATTGCAAAGCTAGTTGCAGTGTCACAGGCAAAACACAATTTTACAAAATCACTGGGGAGGAAAAAGGCAGTTTCACTCTTAAATGGGCAGAGTAAGCCCATAACAGAAGTAATTAAAGGAAGGATGGCTGAAGAAAGAAACATACAGCTTTCTCTTCTCCAGTGCTCTCTAAAGAATCCAGCAAATGTCAATAAATAAATAAATAAGAAGCCTGGGGAATTTTACCACAGTACTTTGCTACCATAAATTTAGTTTGAGAAGAAGTCTGCCTTGCCATATGTAGCTGTCTGCCTCTCGTTCCCACCCCGGCGCCTCAGCAGTCAGCTAATGCAACGTCTTTCTTTCAGTAAGACTTAGGGCTTAAACTTTTTTTCCCCGCACAATGTTTTTAATCTAACAATTATGCAACATCTTCCTTCCCTGTCTTAATTTGCATTCTCATACTGAAACAAAGTTATTGAATTGCATTAAAACTCTAAATGATCTAAACTGAAATCTGTTCTTCAGATGAAATAAATGCCGTGACACACTAGCAAGGACAAAAAAAAACCCCACAACAGCAGTAAGGTAAGGTGAGAAGAACCAGTTCAAAGACTGGGAGAAACACATATGAAAAGGGCCACCCAAAGCATACAGAAGCCACTGCTAGAAAGAAGGTTCTCTACAATTTCTTTTCATGACCCCATACAGAAATGAACAGACAGGTTAAAGATCTTTGCCCCGAACACCTGTCACTGCTTCTTAAGGTCAGTGCAGATGGATGGGTAACTCCTCAAAGAAACCTGTGCTCATGCTAGAGAGGACTGCAGCTTTTACCAGGGTGACCAGCAGACGAGGTTCAAAGCCAGGCAGGAATATCACAGAATCACACAGAATCACAGAATGTCAGGGATTGGAAGGGACCTTGAAAGATCATCTAGTCCAACCCCCCTGCCAGAGCAGGAACCTAAATGAGATCACACAGGAAGGCGTCCAGGCGGGTCTTGAATGTCTCCAGAGAAGGAGACTCCACAACCTCACTGGGCAGCCTGTTCCAGTGCTCTGTCACCCTCACTGTAAAGTTCCTTCTCAAGTTCAAGCGGAACCTCCCGTGTTCCAGCTTCTACCCATTGCCCCTTGTCCTATCATTGGGCATCACTGAGAAGAGCCTGGCTCCATCCTCATGACATTCGCCCTTTACATAATTATAAACATTAATGAGGTCTCCCCTCAGTCCCCTCTTCTCCAAGCTAAAGAGACTCAGCTCCCTCAGCCCTTCAAATAACCTTTCAATATAACCTTTTAAATAAGGATCCACAGGAAAAAAAACCAACTATTTCATATTTTTTTCTTTTTATTATTTTTACATGCAGGACAACTGTCGTGGAGAAAAGCAAAGCCATAGCACCGTGCCATTGTGCTCGATGGCTCTGCTGTTGGAGCGAGCACAGCCATCCTGTTCCAGTGCTTTCTCCTGCATAGTCCAGCCAGACAGATAAGCTACAGAACGAAAGCACAGAATTTCTCTCCCATGCGCTCCCTTGTGTGTGTGACTAGGGCTAGGCTCCAAGTTGAACCTCGTGGGTATAAACACTGCAATTCAGATCTTCCCTAGTTTTCTGCATGCAATAACACACTTGTTTTCTGACATCTTTCTGTTCTCCAGAATGCTACCAGCAATTATTAACTCATTTATAGTTATTTCTTCTTTAAAGTGACACATACTATGCCTGCCTGAAAAGAGAACATGTAGTCAAAATTAATCCAGAGTTTGTTACAAGAGTAGCAGTAATAGTTCTAAATTTAAATATGATGAGTTACCCAGCTTTGTTGAAACCAACCCTGTAAGATCCCAAATGCAAAAGAAGAAAGAGGAAGAGCCGTGTTTTCAAATGGTACAGAGAAGTACAATGGGCTCTGAGCAGCGAGACAGACGTCTGAAATACTGTTCACAAAAGAAGAGACCCAAGAATTCCAAATATGAATTGAACTGAAGAAAAACTATCAAGGACAGGAAACATACAGCAGAAGTGCAGATCAGTGATATGAAGGTTCCTTATCATTTCTAGAAATTTTTCTGATGTGTGAACAAGTTCGCCATCCTGTCCCAAACGCCTAAACACTGCATCTGCTCACTCAAACGTACATGAATTTGTTCCCAGCAATAAAGGCGGCGGCAGGACAGACTGGTCTGTATGTGCTGGATGTCACCTGCATATTCTCAACTTAGTCTGTCGAAGATTGAAGTGCACTTGGCAGAAAAGTTTTCAGCTTGAGCCCTGATGCAAGTGAATTTCTCTCTGGCAATACGACTGCAATTACCATATTCACAGAGATTACTAATTGCTCAGAAGTGCTGCTTAAATAAAAGTAAAGCCAGACTGTTTCAACTCATCAGTATAAGGTATTTTAAGAAAACATTTGAGAGAATAGTCAACTATTTACTGGAAGCTCAGTTTAGTACAGCATTACTGAAGTTATACATTAAGAAGTTAAATACTGTATCAAGTTTAAGGAAGAAATGAAGGGTGAATAGGAAGCGTGAAAGCTGAGGCCACAGGGAGCCGCAGACTTGATATGAGATCCCACAGCGTTCAGCATATGTGCTCGCAGAGCCTGTCACGCCACTGCCACCGTGCATGGGTACACATGGGTTGGCATTGCTGGGACAAGCAATAGGGCAGCTAGAACTGGGCATGCACACAACTCTTACCCTGTCAAGGCAGAAATGCTCCAAGGCAGAATTATCAGACTAGCAGACATCAGAGGATGTCTTCTGCTGAAATTTAGCAAGCTGTAATACAGAGGCCAGTCTGGGTACACATGGCCTTAAGAACTGCAAGACCTTTCAGTGCTGGGCAGCAGGCTTTCCAAAAGCCTTCAGCTAAATACTCGGATAATGGCAACTCCTCTCCTGTAAATAAGGTAGCTTAAAAGCAAACAAACAAACAAAAAACCCCAAACAAGCAAAAAGCAGCAACACAATTGTCCTACCTCTGAGCTTGATCTCCTTTCACCTGATCCACTTATCCAGAGCACGGGGAACATTAACTCTTACACAGAGGTGTATTAGGAATAGTTGCACCAACCAGGCCGCCTCCTTTGATGTGCATTTCCATCTCCCCTCATTTCTTCTGCTGCCTAAAGCCCACTGCTGTGAACAGAAACACTCTGACACATCATTTACAAAAGCCAATATAAACACCTAATGGAATCCCAGCAATTCCAAATGCTCCATTTGCCTTTGCTAACTTCATCTTTCCCTGAACTATGAGCTATGTGGGTATAATCTGTCTCTTCCTGGATATCTAAACTATTGCAGGTACTGCTGCAAATATTGTGGTCTCTTCTCATGAGGAAATTTGATGGGTTTGGATTGGACATTTGGGAGGAAGTTTTTTAGGCTTTCGTGAGTCCACTTTATTTGCATTAAATGAAACATACACATTTGATGTGTCAGCAATCTCTGTGCAGTGAAGGGAGAAAAAGTAAAACAAGTCAAAGTTTACCTAGCTGTACTCCGAAGGAGTAATTTATCAACTCAAGAGTCTGCAAACAGCAAAGTGAACACAAGTGATTGACTCCATGAATCAAAACAAAATCAGAAAACTGGTTATAGATCTATATAAATCAGATAACTGATAGTCAGATAAATCAGATAACTGGCTATAGCCTATAGATCTGGGCTCAGCTCTATGAAATGAAAAGCACAACTCCCTCCAACAAATTGGCTGTTAAGTTTGCTAAACAAATTACTGGTCACACATAACGAATTTATGGATGCTGCAGGAGTACACTAAAAAGGAGTCCTCACCACCAGTGAATAAATGGGCCAGTTAAGGATTCTAGCCCACCACAAGGTTTTGGGTGTTTTCCCCCCCTTATAGTCCTCTCTCACTCCTCTTACACCATTCTCCATCATTTCCAGCCCTGAGCTGCTCCTTCCTGCTAACTGGGTCCCTAAACCAGGAAAAGGGCCAGTCACATAAAACTCAGATGCCTGAGACCAGTTGGGTGGGGCGGAAAGCTGCTGCACGGGAGCGGAGCAGAGGGACACACTGCCTGGCACGTGTCCACCATCTCCACGCCACCCACCCAGCTGACCAGCCAGCGCAGCATTTTATCTGGGAGGCAGGTACTCCCCATCTCCAAGCACAAACAAGAGAGGGGGTCAAAAAAATTGCCACAGTTTGTATGCTGATCCATTGACACTTTCTACATTTGCAGGAAAATATTACCACCCACCCAAGATATATTACATTATGTGTATGAGACAACTTCCATGACTAAGCGAACTCCATTCTTTTGTAAGGAAGCTTTTGATTAAGAAAATCAAAATATGTTGATATTTTTACCCAGAAAGGATCTTTATGAACACTAGCATCAACAACCTCATCCCACCAGGATACAGCATCTCTGTTAAAAACCCTCAATTCTTGAAACTAATCTGATGTCTTGGGGAGAACAAGGCTTTTTAGATAATCCACATGTGAAGAGACATGGAAAATGCGTGTATAGGAGTTCCCTTTCAAAAGCAAAAGGTTTTAACTAGTGATTTTAAACTATTTATTTTCTTAAAAAAAGAAAAAAAGTTAAGAAAACATACTTGAGGTACTTTCTCCTCAGAAACTTAAAATATTTCATTTTGAACCAATCTCCTTTGTCCTCAGAGGTGCTTATGCGGGTAACCTGAACAGCCCTTACAAATGTGTTTTAAGGAAGAGGCAAAAGCACAATAATGCTTTCCAAATTGGGTTTAAAAAGGAAGATGTGAATTTCATTCTGTTTTGAACAAAATAAACACAGTATACAAGAAACATGTACTCAAAGAGTACAACCAACAGCAAATGTAGGTTTTGACGTGCAGAGGGGACTGCTTCAAGACAGCTTATCTGCCTTCACATCAAGGTGTTCTGGCCTATAAAGAGCAGCACTATTTTGTATCTTTTTCTCTCCACCTCAAGAGAGTATTTAAAAAACAAAAACCCAACAACTTTTCAAAGCACTTACCTCCCCTTTCAAGCACAATATTCTGAAGTTACATACCTATGCAGAAGCTCTCTACCAAATGAGAAACCTCAAATCTAATACTTCAGCAAGGGCTCCATGAAGAGAGAAGTATGAAACTAGAAATATGCACAGTTAAAAGTATCAAGTACCCACGTGTTAATTCCTCACAGCAATTGTGCCATACAGAGTAATAAAAAGGGTCATGTGCTTGTACTGAGGGCAAGGCCAAACAAACACAAGATAGAACAGAATGTCACCTGAGAGGTCTAATTTATGAGAGCTGCTTAGCAGATCAATTTGTGTACCTATTTACATGGGACTGTTCTTGCCATCTCCAAGTGCTCTGGATAGGTGAAATAGCCCTTAATTGCCTTCACCTAAAGCATATGGCCATGCACACATATGACAGCACTGTCCACTGTAATGTGCAGTATCAAAGAACCATGTCAAGGTTTCTCAGTGACGAAGACATTGACCTATTAAACTAAATTTCACTTAACCTGGGGCTAAGCAATATGTAGGCAGTGATTGAAAGTTCTTACATTACCCAGAGAGCTCTTCTGTGGCCAAATTACACTCTGTTCTCAAGAAAGCCAATTTGCCCTGATGATTCACATCCTGTTTTGAATTCACAATCACCAATGCTTCCTTCCAACTGTATGTGATAATTGCTTAAGTAGAGTATCATTCTCTAGGGACACAGTTTGAAAGAAAAGATTTTTTTAATTTCATTTTGACCAGAGTGTGAAACAAAAGATGATCAAAACTGGTACACTGGTCTGGAAAAAAAGGCTACTGCAGTGCATTTAGCAAAGCTGTCAGAAAAAAGTGCGTTAAATAACAACAATGGACCTCAGAGAAATTAACTGTATCTCTTTATTGTTAACCAATGAATGTTATCCAAAATAGTAGATGTAATTGTAGCTTAATTGTACAACACAAAACATGATGCTAAAGGAAAAAGCATGTGGAAAATTACTTCACCAAGTAATCATTAAATGTATTCTTAGTATTTCCGCACCAGTAAGTGTTCCCAACTGCTGGTGACAGCAGCTATTACCACTTTGTTCGTTGTGAAAATCCCTATTATAAATGGTTGTTCCTGGTTGTTTAGAAAAAAAAAAATAAAAATCACACTGCTTTATAAACGGATCTAATCCATTTAGCCCTACTCTATATATTGTAGATTTATGAACAGCAAACTTTACTGGTATTTTTTCCCAACACTGAAACTGATGTACCAGCGTTAGTGCACGCTTTCCAGGGAAAAATGAAAACTCACTGGAAGCACAGTATTTCACCTGCTATAGCAAACTGTTCCAACACTTCAGAAATTTGCTTCAGCTTCGGTGTACGAAGCCTGTGAAATAAAAATTGTTCTTACAATGCACTGCAAGTAGAAACACCAACTTCCACCAAGCAGCATTTTGAAGCACGTGCACACCATCTGCACATCAGTCTTCAAGGTCAACCAGGTATGTTTAGCCCCACAAACCAAAAATATATTAATGTATCTTTATTTTATTTTCATGATGTCACCCCACATAGCCAACCTTTAACTCCGCAAAATAATAAAAAAACCCCACAACTTAGTTGGACTGTTCATAAGAAATTTAAACCTATTGTGCATGAAAAAAAAATGTTTAATAAAATGGCAAATTTTAATAGACAAGTGTAAATTTATGAGTGCATAATATCAAACAGAAAAGAGCTGAACCATCCTCAGAGAAAGCAGGGTTCTTCCACTGTAGATATTTACTAGGGTACTATAACAGCAGGAACAACTGCAGTCCACATTAACTGTAAAGTCATTTCTAAGCAAATTTCTCAAAAAAGCAGATGTCCTTTTCAAGAGGGAAAGGACTCAATAACAATGATCTGACATCAGATATGACAATTACAATACTAGCTTCACTGAAAAGTGAAGCTACAAACACTTTTACTCAAATTCTGGGAACTTTAATTTTGTATTTGGAAACCCAAAACCAAACTACCTCAAATGCACATCCTACACCCCTCCCAGGAGATAGTATACCAGTGACAGGTTACAGCTTTAAAACACACAAGATGCTTTTACAATTTAAGCTCAACAAAAGGCAGTTAGACAGTATTTAGCACTATAAATCCACCTTTAAAGTAAAACAAAATCCTAGGAGTAAGGGCTCCTAGCATTCTAGGATATCACTGTGTAGTGACAGTCAATTTAAACAATTTTTTTCATGGTGTTTGAAAGACCAGTCATCATGTATATAGTAGTGAGGTAGGATACTGTCCCCTCCCTGGGACTGATGTTTTCATATGCTCCCTTGCCAGAAAGGTCCAGGTCTCCCTACTGCAAATAAAATAATTACAAGCAAATAGCACATGAAGCTTTGTATTTTTTTTTTCTTTGCTGCATTAGAACGTTTTGTACATCTAAAAGAATCGCCTAGGAAAAGCAATACTTATTCAAGCCTATCAGCAGCCACATGCTGCCCACAGGTAGTGTTCCATTTAAAAATATTTCCTGGAACTACCACCTGCCATCCAGACCTTTGTGAACAGGTAGGCAAAGAAAACCATCAATGATGACAGGACATGAAACACCAAAGAATTTCACTTGGGAGGGAAAAAAAACAAAACTGAAAGTCAGCAATATCAAACTCTTAGTGGTGTAGCTACACTGAAAAATGTAATTTCAAACTTCATATTGAAATAGTACCTATCCAGTTTAGGTTCAGTTCCATTCTTCTTTCTATTTCTTAATGTTTAAGCAATACATATACTTGTCAGTCATTATAGTACTTAACATTGGTTTTCAAAGAAAAAAAATACAAAACAATGAAACTGAAAACATGATGGGGAAAAAATTGCTACCATTCTCCACACCCCCCCCTCAAAAAAGCTAGGGATGACAGACTGCCTTACTGTTGAATAGCTTCCCCTAAATTGGTCTTCTAGCCACTGTAGTCAAACTGGTATTAAGTGCTTTGGCAAAGTGGGGTGCAATCCATCAAATCTGCAAAGGCCTGCTTTTTTCTCTGTTGGTGGTTCAGCTTTACGAGGAACATATATGCAAAATAACAGCTCTCACATTGCTTCAAACTCATCAATACGCTGCTTCGTATTGCCTTGTCGGATTTGTCGAAGAGTCTTGTACTTATCACGGCCTGCTTTAACGTTCTCAGCATGAAGGACATCATTTTGTGTTTTCTTGGTTTCATCTCTGGCTTGAGCCAATTCAGAACTTAAAGCCTGTTGAATAAAATATTTGCATTTAAGTGCTTTGACTAATCTTTTAAGGATTCTGGAATTTCTGATAACAACTATTCTGCAACTTGGATAAGGATTTCTTGAATGCCAACCTATGAAATGCTCGTTGTGCTGTTCACAACCTCAAGTTGTGAGGTCTATCAGAAAGACTGCAGAGGAGAGAGCATAGGATTGTTCCCTTACATGAGTGTGGGCAACAAACAAACAAAAAAAAAAAGGCCTCACACCACAACATCCAGGAAGAAATGGGCCAGCAGGACAAAGCAGGAGAATGACCTTATTTTTAAATTTCTGCTTGACTAAAGACAGCTCTTGTTTATCTCCCTGATCCTGTTCAGTGATTGGCCAAGAAGAAAGGATATTACACATACACGCTACTAAGATATTGCTGCCAGAAAAAGAAGCGGCTTTCCATTTCTGCTGTTTCCTTCCCACACGGGCATTTCACAACAAGGCAAAGGGTTACCACTAACATAGATTATTATACTGGGAGGGGTAAAACAATTCTAGGAGGAAATGTTCCATTTCAGGGAAATGAGATTAATCCAAAACAGGCATATATCAGTTTTTGCATCTACAGTGTCTATGAATGACTGCAAATAGACACAAACACTATTAAGCAAGCATCTGTTCATATCACTTAGTGAATCTCAGTATTGAGAAAGGAAAGCATTACATTTAAACATTCAGTGTCCTGGACATTAGATAATCATTAGAAATGTTTACTGGCCAATGCAACAACATACTAATACTTTTAAGCTATAAAGCACAATCTTGCATCCAATCTTTTTACCTATTCCACTTCTACAACACTATGAATGATATCGGTTGGTAAATTAGTAATAAACCTAGTAAATGACAAAAAGGCTGTTTCCTTGGCACACCATAATTTCAATGAGATTTTTTGACAAATATAGAATGAAAACCAAAGCCTGAATTCTGTTGACACAACTATGAATCTTCATTACCTGGAGCTGTTTCTTAACACGTTCATTTTTCTGTGTTTCTGTTACCCGTTCTTCCTCACTCCTGTGATTCATGACACCATCAGAAGACAGTTCTGCACTGGCTTCAGCATTGTTCTCATCATGTTCATCATGTTCATTCTCTGTTGGAGGAATAACTGGTGGGGGAGGAGGCGGAGGAGGAGCAGACATCACAGATTTCAGTTCTTCTTTGGTCTTTTCCAAGTCCTCTTGGGCTGCAAAAGCCTAAATACAGTAAACAGTACTTAGCATCTTTTAGAATGACTTATGAATAGTAAGAAAAATAAAAATAAATAGCTGAGATGTTTTCAGACACCTGGAAACTGTCCTTTATAAATGACACAACTAGCTTATGCACTGGAAATTGTAAAACACAAATATAGGGTATGACTCAAAGCCAGCTGTACCAGAGATCAGCTATTTCCAGCTGACAAGAGAAAACAGGGCAATCAAACTGATTGCTTTCCAACTTTCCTAGCCTCCTAAAATATGAGGCTCAGAGACTTCTCAAATCAAAGGTGATGTATTCAAATTTCATATTCAACCAGAACCTATACTGTAAGAATTTGTTCAATCACTTTTTGAACCTGTGCATACAGTTAGTATTCACAACATCCCATAGCTAATTACAGATTTTGTGAAGAAATACTATTTTGCTTTAATCTATTGTCCAGTTGCATGTGACATGCCTTTGTTGCTGTTCTGGTTCATCTTTTCACCACGACTCATTATTTTATACATCTTCCTCCTGATGTATTTTCTTTTCCAACACAAAGCTCCAATTATTTCATCACCATACACAAGGAATCCATTTCAAATCTTTAACCATACCTTTGTGATGAGAATTTCCCCCCCTCCTTCATGACTACTTAATATTAAAAAAATAATTAAATAGAAGTATAGTCTGGCTTCAGTAGACTGGAGAACAAAAACCTTTTAAGAAAGGCTTCTCCGAAGCCTAAGGGAAACAGAAACATTCAGTCCCATGGACTTCAGTGGGATTTCCACACTCATCTCCCTTAGGTTCTTTGAAGTTCTGACTTCACACAGCATGAGCTCATTACTTTGTGCTGCCATTCTGAGGCTTCCTCTTCTTTCTTTTTCTTGGCCTCCTCTAGAAGCGCAATCTTGGCAGTGAATTCAGCAAGTTCTGCTGCCTGAAACAAAAAATGAAGCCAAAGTTTTAATTTGGTATAATTTTGGCTCTGCAGTGGAAGAAAGCAGAGTCTTTGCTGTGATCCGACTTGAAAATAGTTAGTTACCATCCACCAACTGCTAAAAATAGAAATTTTAAGCACAATATGACAAAGGGAATGAATTGGTACTCTTGCCTGATGGAAATAAGTCCAGAAAAACAATGCTTGTCTTCTGCACTTCCAAAGCTTGCTGGGAAAGAGGGAGCTGTAGTTACAAATTAGCATTTGGGGCTGTTTCAGTTTAATACAACTTCAATGGTTCCACTAATAAGATTATGATTCTGGATCCTAATCTCACTACTATTAAACTAAACCTTGCCTTCAGAATTGTGCGCTAAGTTTACAGAAGATCAACAGCTGTTTTATAGTTGAGAAGTAATTTCTTCTGCTATTTTCATGCCTTTCTCAGTTATTATGTGCAAATCTTGAATTAGATTCACAGTATCTTCTCACATTCTATAAATGCGGGAAAGAGGGTGGGGTGAGGAGGAAAGCAAGCAAACAAAAAAAATCCCTCAGTGTCACTAACTCCCCACCACCATCCTCCCGCCCTACTCTGCCCTGGTGAGGCCACATCTGGAGGACTGCATCCAGTTCTGGACTCCTCAGTTCCAGCATGACAGGGATCTTCTAAGGAGAGCCCAGTGGAGGCCACAAAGGTGATCAGGGCCCTGGAGCATCTCCCGTATGAGGAGACACTGAGAGAGCTGGGACTCTTCAGCCTGGAGAAGACAAGACTGAGAGGGGATCTTATCAATGTCTATAAATACCTGGAGTGAGGGGACCAAATGGATGGGGCTGGGCTCTTTTCTGGAGTACCCAGTGACAGGACAAGGGGCAATGGGCAAAAACTGGAACACTGAAGGTTCCAGACAAACTTAAGGAAAAACTTCTTTACAGTGAGGGTGACAGAGCACTGGGACAGGCTGCCC